GCTCTTCTAAGATAATCCTCCCAACAGGGCAGTATGACCGCATAGACTTGAGCTATCTGTTTGCCCAGGCATTGTGGATTTTAATACCAATTATGTGTTTGTTTACTGAACATCTAATATCCACACAGCTCTTTGCCAGAGTGCAAAGCTACTGCCCCAGATGTTGAAAAAACTATTCTCAACCATGAAGACTAAAAATACATGAGATTATCTATGTACTTTGGGTCAAATTTATTATGCAAATAAGTACAAATAAATATAAGACATTTCTGCTTATGAATACATTTTGGTTTTTTTTAATGAATCAACCATACTGAAAAGGTTGAATGACAATAAAATGAATGAAAATCAGCATTCATTCATTTCTACTTGTTAGGAGAAATTGTTATTTAAGCTTAGAAAGTAGGCTAGTAGTTATTTCTAGGTCTTTTGGTTTGTCTCATTATTTTTGAGCTGCACTTAAAGAAATTTTTCAAAAAAGTCATGACTGAACTCGTGTTAAAGGTGTGGTAGAGGAGCCTCTGACCATTGAATCAGAAGCTCCTGGCTGTTCTTTCATTACTCTTACCATGATGCCTGGGAGGAACTTTGCCTGGGAAGTTAATCTGGTACTGCCGCAGATTTAGCATTCAGGTCAAAAGTCTGCAAGGGAACATTCACCTGTGGCAGCTTGAGGGAAATTCGTAGCCCACCACCATACCTGATCCTAGTCAACATAGTCTTTTCTATTCTTCCCAAAGTACCAAAATGGCCCAGAAATGGGAACGTGGGAAAATGTGCTAATGCATGACTCTAGGATCCAGGGTAGCAAGCACAGCCCTGCTCAGAGTGTCTCAGCTTTACCCTCTTGCTCTGATTGCTACACATTTTCCTCTTCCTTGCTTCTTCTGCTTAGCCCAAGAGCCATCTGATGGTTTCTACCACTTTCGGCCACCAGGGTTTGGACTTTACATGAGTCCAAGTGGGAGGAACAATTGGAAAACTCTCTGGAAACAATTGAACAGAGCAAAGGAGAGGGGTCTAGAGATGAGCTGAACGCTGCTGGCATTGAACTAATCACACAGATGGTCACACTTCTCTCCACTTTGTGTGATGCTTATCTATTGTCCCAGATGGAGCAATTTCTGAAAGTCCTTTTCTGGGCTGTAGAACAGCACTTGCTTCTTTGTGGAGCCCTGAGAGGCATTACTGAAAGTGGTTCATTGTCTTTGGGGTATTACAGTGAGATGGTGGTCACTGATTTCATTATGTTTTCCTTCATTGAAGCTGTTGGTTTGATCCTGTGCCAGGTGCTTAAATGCGTTATGGTTTTGCAGGTGGTAAGTGAGAGGCTGGACAAAAAGAGGCGTCATCACCGTGGCCAAAATGTTTGGCAAACTGAGGTCTAGTTAGGGCAAATAGAGGATTTCCTCTTTACCTCATTTTCATTTAGAAAAAGAAACTTTCCAGGACAATTTTTTCCCTATAATTCCTTCTTAAAAACATTTTCCTTTGAAGATATACTTAGATGCAAATAATATTTTTTGTTTCACTTAAAAAATAAAGATAAAATGCCAATTAGAGGTGGTTGTTGTCATTGATAAGATTAACTAGAATTGACCAGCTGTAAAAATATAATTTGGGATGCCTTGTGAAGGTATGTCATTTTTATTTGCATGTCATTGCATACAGATGTGGTTGTGAAATAGTTCAAATTATGGCACATTGAATGTCGTCACTGGATTTTTAGGAATGTGTTCACTGAGGCAGCCAAATTTTATTTCATTTTGTTTGGCTCATTGCATTGCTTGTAAAGCAGAGAATATTCACTTTAATATCTGAGTCAAAGTTTATTTCCAAACATAATACTGCAGTTGTTCTTTCAAAGGATGTAAATTTCTTATTTATTTACTTGATACCTTGCTTTCTACTGTCTCTTCTCTCCTTATTTTATGCTGGAGTGTGCTGGAAAGTTTTCCAAGAAAATTTTGATAATATGTCATAATTCACTAATGAATACTATCACATTTTGGGAGATATAACTATGGGAGTGCTAGGAATCATAGGTTCCAGAAGTAATTTTATTGCTGCTGCTGAAATGCCTTACCAGTGATACAATATATTAATTATGTTAGGAAATTATATTTTTCTTCTAGTTTAGAGTATAACTTAATATTTAGGTGTTGTGGTTTAGTAGTCATCGAGTTCTTTTCATTTCACCAACCCTACTGTGGTGTTCCTGGAAGAACAAGGATTTGTGGATGGGATAGACCTGGATTTTCATCATGGCTCTCCTGTCCACTGGCCAAGTGATCTTGAACAAGTTAGTCAACCTCTTTGAGTCTCAATTTCTGCTTTTAAAACATGTGGATTAGCATAATCTGATTTATCATGTATGATGATTAGATGAGGTGAAGAGCCGGAGATGCACATGACCAAATGTCTCTATCCTTGGGTCCGGTGCTTGCTGAATTAGAAGGAAATCCAAGCTGGCCAACCTTGATTCCTTTTCTTGCCCTGCTGCATTAGTCCATTCCTGTTGCTTATAACAAAATATCTGGAACTGGATGATATATAAGAAAACAAAATTTATTGCTCACAGTTTTGGAGGCTGGGAAGTCCACAGTCCAGGGAATGCATCTGGTGAAGGCCGGGTGACAGTGACACATATGGCAGATAGTGGAGCAGAGGGAGAGATAACTCCTCATGCAGTCCTTTTAAACCATGCCCGTGACCACCATTAAACCATTCTCTATGGAAGGTCCTCACAATCCCATCACTTCTTCAGAGCCCCACTTTTTAATTACCATAATAGGATTTCCCACACTCAACAGAATGGGAATTAAGTATGGAGGAGGGGCATTCAATCCAAGGCATTCTGCCCCTGGCCCCCCAAAACTTATGTGCTTTTCACATGCAAATGTATTCATCTCATCTCCAAAGTGTTAACTTGTTTTAACTCAAAAGTCCAAAGTCTCAAGTCCCATCTGTGAAATCAAAACAAGTTACCTACTTCCAAGATACGATGGTGGGACAAACATAGGGTACATATTCCTGTTCAAAAAGGGAGAAATAGCTCAAAAGAATGGGGTGACAGGTCCCGAACAAGTCGAAACCCAGGAGGGCAGGCATCAAATCTCACAGCTGGTGTTTCACATACCTTGTAAACTGATCTGTGGATTGAGACGAGCAATTAAAATCCAATGTGGTAAATGCTATGATAGGACACAGCTAGGCTGGCTGGAGGGGCAGAAAAGATTTTGCAGAGGAACTGGTATCTCGAGTGGCACACTTGGGAGAGGAGTAGGAGTCAGGTGGGCCAGAAGTAGGGCACATGTGTTCCTGTGAGAGAAGAGCATGTGCAAAGTCCAGGGGTGAGAGGGAACAGGGGGTGTGCAGACAGAAGGGGACGGCTAGAACTGGGATGTGACTTAGAGAGTGGGAGGAGAAGGCTGGGAAGACAGCTAAGAAGAGCTTTGTAAGCTGTGTTCAGGCATTTAGATGTTATCCTTAGAGCTTTGAGGAGGTTCAGAACATGAAAGCAGGATGTTGGCACGATGGTGTTTGATTTTAGAAAAATCACTCTGGGGACATGTTGGGAATGATTGGCAGGGGCAAGGCTGGAGGCAGGGTGATGATCTGGACAGGAGTTGGTATGGACCCTGGTAGTGATGCATGAGCCTGAGGCAGAAATGGTTTGCTTTGAAGAAGAGTTAGAAAATAATTGATTTGATCTGCGTGTGTGTGGCAGAGTGGGTAGGGCGGGGGAGGGCTGAGTGAGGGAGAGGCTGGAATCTGGAATAACGCCCGAGTTTCAGGCCTCGTGGGCCACAGTGGAGAGGACCAGACTGGTGGGGGAAGGAGGTTGGCTCTGTTTGGGACACATTCCTCTTGAAGTCTGTGAGAGAGTCGAGTATGGACGGACCACAGGCAGGTGAATATACAGGTCTGAAGCTCAGGAAAGAGATTTGGTGTGAGGTGACCAGAAAATGCTGATGAAAAAGTGGGACCAAAGGAAAGATCCATGTTCTTAGATTTCTCTCAGGCTACTGCCTGGTTTAATTTGGCCTGTTTTTATATTCCTGTTGAGTCGTTGAATGTGGGTCATTGTTTATTTTCATAACTAACACATGTAGACTTTCTGTGTGATGATAACAAAGGAAAAACAGCTGCTACTGAAGGAGGGAAAATAAGAAGAGAAGGAAAAAGTCAAGAGAAAGGGATCCCAGAGAGGCGTGGGGAAAGCTCTGTGTGGGTCCTCCTTTTGCCCCAGGCAACGGGCTGGGCCTGGTGTCTCTGCTCACTGTGTCTTCTCTCCTCTCTTCTCCTTTCTGATTATGTTTCACTCACCTCCTTTTCCCTTTACTCCTTATTAGTCAAACCCTAGATTCCCCCAGAGGCTTTTTGTTTCTGTTTTTTGGTGGGCAAGAAAATAGGAATGATTATTTTTCCAAACCTTGGCCTTCTGCACTTCATACAGGCCTGGGCAGATGGAACTTTTGGGTTGATGTGGTCACAGGTACACAGAGTTCTTCTGTCTCTTCAGTAAAAACACTGTATGTTTCACTAATGCAATTGGTGTGAATTGTTTTTCCAAAAATTTAACTCTACTTCAATCGGATTTTCTCATGCATTGTTTTTGCAAGACCAGATAATGAAATTTAAAAAGGAGTTTCTTCTCAAAACAACTTAAATCAATTGCTTTAATAATAAACATTCACCAAGTTATACTCATTAAGAAAAAAATGAAAAAACTACTCTGTTGTTTTTCTTCTTCTGATGTAAGGTGAAGACTTACAAATAGTTGTTAACTGTGTTTGGTTAAGAAGAATTTGTTTTCATTATATATATCATATATGTACTTATTAAGTTTTTCTTTTTTGCCAGTCTGTCAAGTCAAAATTTGAATGTGTTTTGGGCAGGAGAAAAACCCAGCTTTGTTACAAAAGTTTTGCATTATGAACATGATTTTGTTGTGCATCTATTTTCATTCTTGTTAAGGGATGAATTCTATTGCACAAATCCAGTGTATTTTATGTATTAAACATGTGAGCTCAGGAATTTCATTTGGTTCTGTAAATATACACATCTACATTAGATGGCCAATCCAAACATAGGACTCAGCCAACTGGTTTCTAACCCAATTTGGCCCTCCCATCTTCTTCTGGTTTGCAAAACAACTGGCTTTGGGGAAGAAAGTAAATCAAAGTAACATTTGTTATTAACAATTTTCTTCTGAGACTTAATGTATACTAATTTTTTTAGAGGTAAAACATATCAACATTTACTGCAGAAACACCTTAGGAGAACAAACACTAGAACTTTCTTCAAGGTAT